TTTACATCTAGCTGCTCTAATTCCAAATCAAAATTAGCCATCATTGCCAAAACAATCCTGATGGAGGTGTGTCTGACGATCGGAGAGAAAATTTCATCATAATCTACTCACTTCCTCTGTGAGTATCCCTTTGATACTAATCGAGCGTTGTATCTTTCTCCTTCCTTTTCTGACATTGCTTATTTCTTTCTATCCACCCACTTACACCTTATCTGTTTCTTCCCCTCTGAAAGCTCCACCAAATCCCAAGTATCATTTTTATGCAGTGACTCAATTTCCTTCGTCATAGCCTCTATCCATTTACCTTTCTCCTGACTACCAATGGCATCCTGAAAAGTTATAGGATCGCTATTGCTGGTAATGAGTGCATAAGAAACCGAACCCTCGAATCCATACTTTGCTGGTGGCTTGGTCGTGCGACGTGGTCTATCTAAGGCAACACTATGATACTGCTCCACTTCTGACCCAGAACTATCTACTCCCTGAGCATTAATTTCTGTGTTTACATTATCTAACTCTACTTACACCACTTGGCTCTTACCTCTGCCCTCGTCTGAATTGAGCTTCTCTTTATCTGTAGAAGCTTTAAGTATGAATGCTTCATCAAATACTGCATCCCTACTTATCACCATCTTCCTTGCCTCTGGATCCCAAAACTTGTATCCATTTACACCTTTAACATAGCCCAGGAAAATGCATTTTCTTGATTTCGGATCATGTTTGGATTGCTGATCACTAGATACATGCACATACGTCGAACAACCAAATACTCTCAATTCAGAATAATCAACTTCATTACCTGTCCAAACTTCCTCTGAAACTTTCCCATCTAGTGCTGCTCGTGGTGATCTGTTTATGACATAACATGCCATGTTCACTGCTTCTACCCAAAAACTCTTCGAGAGCCTTGCATTCAGCCTCAAACATCTTGCCCGTTCTGCAATTGTTCTGTTCATCCTTTCTGGAACACCACTCTGTTGCGGTGTCTTGCAAACTGTATAGTGCCGCTGAATCCATGCTCCTCACAAAATCTCAAAAACTGTGAATCTGTATACTCTGTACCGTTATCTATCCTCAGATACTTAATTTTTCTACCCATCTGGTTCTCTATTTCTGCTTTCCATAATCTGAACTTGGCAAAGGCTTCAGACTTGTGCTTCATGAAATATACCCAAACTTTTTTAGAGAGGTCATCAATAGAAGTAATAAAATACTGAGATCCACCCTTGGACAACTCCCTCACTGGTTCCCAAACATCTGAGTGCACGTAATCAAGAATTTCCTCTATCTTGTGCTTTCCCATCTTGAACTGTACTCTGGACTGTTTTCCAAGTACACAGAACTTGCAGAAATTTAGCTTGCATGATTTTACCCCCTTCAACAAATTTCTCTTGTGAAGCTCAACCATGCCACGTTCTTCTATATGCCCCAGTCGCATATGTCATAGAAAAGTGTCATCTGACTCAGATTCTGCTGTAGCAACTCCACCTACAACTGTATCCCTGAGTAGCTTGTAGATATTCCCTACTAATTTCTGACCCTTCATCACAATCATAGCCCCTTTCTTCACTGTTAGAGCCCCACACTCTCACTTATACGAGTAACAATTTGTGTCTAAAGTGTCTAAGGAAATTGGATTCTTTTTCAACTCAGGTACATGCCTAACATTTTCCAAGGTCCTTATCACACCATCGAACATTTTAAATTTTATGGACCCCATTCCAATGACCTTACATGATGCATCATTACTCATCAGAACAGATCCAAAATTACCAGAATGATATGAATGAAATGTGGGATCGCTATGACCGAATGTGCTTGATGATCATGAAACGTTCCATTCCGGAAGTGTTTCGGGGCTCAATTACGGAGAGCGGGAGCGTCAAGAAGTTCATTGAGGAAATTGAGCAATATTTTGTCAAGAATGAAAAATTGGAGGCAAGTAACCTTTTGGCTAAACTCGTTTCAATGAAGTATAAGGGCAAAGGGAACATAAGGAAATACATCATGGAGATGTCTCATCTCGCATCGAAACTCAAGTCGCTTAAGTTGGAGCTATCTGATGACTTGCTCGTGCACTTAGTTTTGATATCTCTTCCTTTGTACTTTTAGCAATTCAAGTTGAGTTATAACACTCAGAAGGACAAATGGTCCCTCAATGAGCTTATATCTCACTATGTGCAAGAAAAAGAGAGGTAGTAGCGAGATAAGACTGAGAACACTCTCTTGGCCTCAACCTCTCAGAACAAGAAAAGAAAGAGAGCTAAGGATGCTAGGGAAGGACCTTCTCAGCAGAAGAAGCAAGATGAGGAGTTTACCTGCTACTTCTGCAAGAAGTCGAGACACATGGAGTGTTCCAAGTACGCTATCTGGCGTGTAAAGAAGGGTATGCTTTTTACTTTAGTTTGTTCTGAAGTTAATTTAGCTTTTGTACCTAAGGATACTTAGTGGGTAGATTCTGGTGCTACTACTCACATAAGTATATCTATGCAAGTTTGCCTATGGAGCCGATCGCTAAGTGATGCAGAAAGATTCATCTTTGTGGGCGATGGGAATAAAGTTGCGGTAGAGGCTATTGGGACTTTCAGATTACAATTAAAAATTGGGTTTTATTTGGATTTTTTTTGAGACATTTGTTGCACTGTCCTTTAGACGGAATTTAATTTTTATTTCTAGTTTAGAAATATCAGGATTTTCTTGTTCATTTGGAAATAATAAAGTTGGTCTCTATCAAAATTCAAATTTTGTTGGTTTCAGTTATATGATTGATAATCTATATTTACTTGATATTTTTAGTTTCTATAACAAAATATTGCAAACAAATTCACGTGGTACAAAGCGAAAATTTAAGTGAGAATTCCGCCACTTTATGGCACAAGCATTTAGGTCATATCTCTAAGCAGAGAATTCAGAGGCTTGTGTCGGATGGAATTCTTGAACCCTTAGATTTAACAAACTTCAAAGTCTGTGTTGAGTGCATCAAGGGAAAAAGAACAAACATGAGAAAATTAGGTGCCGAGAGAGCTACAGACGTCTTAGAACTAATACATACTGATATTTGTGGCCCATTCCCTACGTCTTCTTAGCATGGATATTAGTACTTCATTACGTTCATAGACAAAATTTGAGATGAAAGATTTTGGGAATGCCTATTTTGTATTGGGTGTTCAGATACTGAGAGATCGTTTTCGAGGTATTCTTGGACTGTCATAAAAGAGCTATATCGATAAGGTTTTGAGTAGATTCGGCACGAAAGATAGTAGACTAAGAGACATGCCCATCTCTAAAGGAGACAAGTTTAGTCTCAAATAGTTCCCCAATAATGATCTTGAAAGAAAAGAGATACAAAAAATTTCCCATGCGTCAGTGGTAGGGAGTCTAATGTACACTCTAATTTGTACTCATCCCAATATAGCGTTTATAGTGGGAGTTTTGGGTAGATATTTAAGTGATCCAGGCATGCAACATTGGAAAGTATCCAAACGTGTGATGCATTAGTTGAGGAGAACAAAAGACTAGATGCTCACTTAGGTCATTGGGTTCTCTAACTCTGATTTTGCGGGATGCCAAGATAACAGACGCTCAACATCAGGCTACGTCTTTATGTTGGCTGGAGGAGCTATCTCATGGAAGGCTGCCAAACAAACTCTCATAGCTTCTTCAACCATGGTTGCGAAGTTCATTGCTTGTTATAAGGCATCCACCATAGAATGTGGTTGCAGAACTTTGTCACTGGACTGCGAGTTGTAGATGGCATTGACAGGCTATTAAAGATTTATTACGACAACAACTAGGCGGTGCTTTACTCCAACAACAACAGGAGTTTGACAAAGTCAAAGTTTATTAACATCAAATTTCTAGTTGTTAAGGAGAGAGTTCAGGATAAACAAATTTACATAGAACATATAGGGACAAATTCCATGCTCGCAGATCCATTGACCAAGGGCTTAACGCCCAAGGTCTTTCATGAGCACACTACTCACATGGGCGTTATGTCCGAGGATATTCTCGTCTAGTGGGAGTCAATTTTATGTTCCACGTGTTTACTTTAGACATTGGATTGTTTAATCTTCTGCAGAATAAAGTTGATGGTTTATGATTCTATTTCTGAGCTTGCTTGTGTTTTCTATGTGCAATGTTTGCGTTGCATTAAGGACTTTGATATGATCTCACTAAAGATTAAAGAAGGACCAGTTGGAAATAGACATGTTTGAGATCACATTTTATGTAAATTTCCATGTTACTCATCCATATTTGATCTACCTCATTAAGTGTATTAGTATGGTAATTATCGTGGATTAATCACGACTGTATTGTGATGAAAGTTGCGGTGGTTCCATTATTAATATATGAGATGGACTAGATTGTTTATAAAGAAGTCTAAGTATAAATAGCATACAAATGCGCGCCTAAAGAATTTGTAATATAATTGTTTGAGGAATAATATGTAGCCAAGTGGGAGATTGTTAGGAAAACCCACGATTTTCCTAATTGGCAACATATTTTAGTTCAATTATATTTGCCTTTTAATTTAATATAATGAGCTGAAATTAAGTGGTCTAATTTGGTATGCCCATAGATTACTCAAATTGATATGTGATAATTGAGTAGATACCGGCAATATTGCTCTAATTGAGGGATAATGGGAACCCCAGTTAAGCAATATATAAAGATCATTTTGGTTATGGTCCCCAATATACTAAATTACACCTAATGTCCTTTCTCCCCATCAAGAAGAGAAACAATGGTCTCATTGAGGAATAAGGCGTTGAGGAAGATCACAAACCATTCCCTTTCTTTTGTGTTCATCAGTACGTGGCTGATTGTCGCAATAATTCCGCAACAGTAGGCAATCGTTCATAATGGATAAAGGTATATAATCCGAATCCGTCAATCCTAATATTTTGGCATGATGTTGATCCTAGGATTTCAGTTATTTTGATTTAGGATATTTGCATCCAGATTTGGATATGATATGAATTTCTAACAAACTACACTACCTCTGTTGATCTATTGATCTGACATTTCTTTCCTTATTTTTTTTTGTAGAATGTGTTTCTACAAATTCTGATTTCCCTTTATCATTGGAAGCATGTAGTAACGTTTAAAGAATTTGTTGGAAACATTTACTCTTTTGATGAAATTAAATATCACTTGGTCGAGTAATTAGTTTGGGGGTCAGAGTCGTGGTGAAGTTAAATATGTCATATATTTATTTTCTGTGATAAGAGATTTGGCCAATTGGAATAGAGAACTATTCCCCCTTTATGGTATAGCTGATGACGGAATGGGGTCAGAGGATACAGCTGATATGGGGAAAGAATATCCCATTTGATAATTTTGTTCCCCTAATTGTTGAAAAATCATTCCCCTTTTTCTGGTATGTGGGATGCTGGAAAAGATGGGCTACGATGGGAGTCAGAAGATGCAGCCGATATGGTTTGTGTCCCACCATTCATCTATCTTCAATCTGTTACGATGAAGTATCTGACACCTTTTTCTCAGAGGCAAAGGTTATATTCCTATTTATTTCTCTCTTTATGTAACTATGTTAGATTTTTAAAATTGCTAGATGATCTGGAAGTGTTCGTTTCCATTTAACTTGGGGAAAGTTATGTTACTTTGCAATATTTCTTCTTTCTCTGGTATGGAAACTACTGAATTGTTTTTGATATCTGTCATATCCTCCTTTTTTTTTTTGACATCTAGGAATTGTCCATGATTCCAATCAAGACATTAAATCACTTGTAACTAAAGAAATTATTGTATTATCATCAAAGCAAGACCAATAATTTCTTCTATTCATGATTTTACATCTTTCTTATTGCAGACCACGAAGAGCAAGAAAGAGGTGATGGAAGAGATTATTTTGAAAAGCAAATTTTTCAAGGTAATGGTTGATATGTTTCATGTCATCGATTCTATTTTTTGCCAAGATCTCCTAGTTCAATGTTTTACATTTCTGTCTTATTCCATTCTCCGTAGGCTCAAAAAGCCAAAGATAAAGAAGAAAATGAACAGGTCATTGAATAATTGGACAAATATTTTGCATCTTTAGTTCAATCTGAGGCATTGTTATCAATGACACAACCCAACAAAATGAAAGCTTTGAAAGCTCTTGTAAACAAGAATACTTCAGTTTATCACATAGAGAAAGAAGAAATCGGTGCTGCCCAGGACAAATTTTCTTTTCAAAAGGTAAACTCTGTTCCACGGAACTCTCTATGGCCCTGTAAACGTGATAGAACCTGTTCGAGAACAACACAATTAGTTCACAAAATGCAATTAGACCTTTCCACAACTGAATTTACGCACACACAGGACTGAATATGTATGAATTGATTGATTGAATGGAAGAATTGAACAACTTGAAATGGAAAACAAGTAACACTACAGGTTTCGAGAGCTGCCCCTCTCCTATTGATTCCGATTTTTCCTGATTTCTGAATGCTTTCTAGAATTTACTACTTGCTATCTGTAAATACTATGACATTATCATAACTAATTCGTTGCATAACTAATTTTCCCTCCAATTTCGCTTACACCCCCTTGTGATGCCTTTGATAACAATGATAAGTGAACCGTATGGGAACCTTATCAATATCCCCCGCCAATGAAAGCACCTTGTCCCCTAGGTGGAATTCAAGAAACTGAGAATGATCAGTTCAATTGGTTCCCAAGATGCTTCAAAAGATGGCAGATCCTGCTACTGAATCAAAACTTCCGGCCCTGTACTTTCTGGTTCCTTGGCTAGTCTAATGCCCAACACCTTTGCAGGTTGCACCTTCCACTCTAATTCTGGACTGAGAAGTGTGGGGTTGGACGGAAGTGGTGGAACCCACGGCCTTCCGTAACTGAGATACATGGAACATAGGATGAATGTTTACCTCGGCTGGTAATTGGAGTTTGTATCCTACAACCCCTATTTTCTGAATAACAGCATAAGGACCAAAAAATCGAGGTGACAACTTCTCATTTGCCCGTTTAGCCAAGGACCACTGGCAGTATGACTGGAGCTTCAGATAAACCAGATCCCCCTCCTAAAATTGTACTGTTCTTCTTCCGATGTCTGCCACTTTCTTCATGCGGGACTGAGCCTTCTCCAGCTGTAACTTCAAAACACCAATCATCTCATCACGCAGTTGGAGCTGCTGATCTAGGTCAACTAGGGGAGTGTGCTGGTTCCCGTAGCGTATGATGGGCGGTGGGTCTCTCCCATAAACCACCTTAAAAGGGGTAGTTTTGGATGAAATGTGGAAAGAAGAGTTATACTAACACTCAGCCCAAGGAATCCATTCAACCCAAGAGCGGGGATGGCCGTCTGCAAAACACCTTAAGTATGTCTCCAAATAACAGTTCACCACCTCCATCTGCCCATTCGTTTGTGGGTGATAGGCTATGCTACAACGAAGATGAGTGCCTTGGAGGTGGAAGAGCTTGGTCCAAAAATAGGTTGAGGAAAACCCTGTCTCTTTCTAGCACGATGGAGCGAGGAAACCCATGTGTCCGACTAATCCCTGAATAAAGAGCTCTGCAACAGTTTTTGCCGTAAAGGGATGCTTTAATGTCAAAAAATGAACGTACTTGCTCAACCTATCCACAACTACTGTACTCCCATGGAATTCTTGAAGTAGCCTATGTATGAGATCTGAACCTCTAGGTAATACTAACCACTGTTTGTAAAGGAGTCAGCCATCATTCACTGACCAACCTTCAATAGATAGGGGATCCTTGAGTAGTGACTCCCTTATAGCCGCTAGTCTCTCATAAGTACTTATCTGTCTCTCCAATTCTTCCAAATCAAGTACCCTTGGTATAGTCATGACCGCTAACTCTGTCTCCAACAGAAGTCTGGACAGGGCATCAGCAGCCTTATTCTCGAGGCCAGGCCTATATTGGATTTCAAAATCATAACCAAGTAGCTTAGTGACCCACTTTTAGTGTTCAACACACACCAGCCGTTGTTCTAACAAAAACTTCAAGCTCTTTTGATCGGTACGTACTACAAAATGCCTTCCAAGAAGGTAGTGCCTCCATTTCTGGATGGCTAGTACTATAGCCATGAGTTCCCTCTCATAGATGGACTTAAGTCAAGCTCTTGCAGACAAAATTTGGCTGAAGAACGCATCGGATGCTGTTGCTGTGATAATACAGCTCTTAATCCCATCCCTGAAGTATCTGTTTCCACTACAAATGGAATGGAGAAGTTAGGTAAAGCTAGGACTGGTACTTCAGTCATGGCCTCCTTCAATTTTTGAAAGGCTAACTCAGCCTCTAAATTCCAATTGAAATAGTCTTTCTGCAGCTGTCTTGTAAGGGATTCGGCCAACTTCCCATACACTTCCTCAAATCTTCAGTAATTCCCCGTTAACCCCAAGAATCCTCTTAAGTCCTTAAGGTTTTTAGGCACTGACCACAATTGCATCGCCTGAATCTTCTTGGGGTCAGCTGTGACTCTTTGTGAGCTAATTAAATGCCCCAAGTATTCCAGTGTAGCACAGTCGAATTCACACTTCTTCTAGTTGGCATACAACTTCTGTTATTGTAATACCCCAAGTACCGTTCTTAAGTGTCCACAATGCTCCTCCAAGGTCCAGCTGTAAACTAGGATATCATCAGAAAATACTAGTACACACTTTCTTAATAACCCCTTGAACACTTTATTCATCAATGATTGGAAGGTTTTCGAGGCATTAGTAAGCCCAAATGGCATCACTAAAAATTCGTAATGACCCTCATGAGTTCTAAAGGCCGATTTGTATTCATCACTAGCCTTAAGGCGTATTTGATGATACCCCGACTCCAAATCCAACTTGGAAAAAGTTGTGGCTCCATGAAGTTCATCTAACAGCTCACCGATCGCTAGAATTGGAAAGCGATTAGGTATAGTGGCACGATCCAAGGCTCATAATCCACACAAAATCTCCATCCACCATCCTTTTTCTTTACGAGCAGTATTAGGCTGGAAAATGGACTAATACTTGATTGGATGATACCTGCCCCCAACATTTCAATTACCAATCTTTCAATCTCTGTCTTTTGTGCATGGGGATATTGATATGGTCTTACGCTAATGGGCTCACTTCCTGCTTTCAGCGTAATTGCATGCTCGTGACCTTGCAAGGGAGGTAACCCAACTGGTAATCCAAAAACATCTCTGTACTCTGTGATTATTTCCTATAATGGCTGGGCAATGTCATGATCCATTAGTTGCTCATCCACTTGCATCGAGCATAACTCTTACCACCATTCCTTCTCCTTCCTTCTTGAAGGTTTTGAACATTGATTTTAATGAGATAATTGATTTACTAGGTCCTTTCTCCCCTTGCAACGTAACCATATTGTTTCTTATAGGTATTTTCATCACCTATGATTTCCAATTGATTTGAACTGTACCCAAAGTGCTAAGCTACTACATTCCCAAGATTATATCAGAACTTCCCAGGTCGATAGATAAGTAATTTTCCATGATTAACACCGACTGTAGTTGTAGAACTACTCCTCGGCATTTTCCCTTCCCTTGTACTGCCATACCAGTGCCAACCTGCACTTGATAACCATTGGTCTCAGTGATCGGCAATTTGAGTTTCTTGATTAACTCCGAGGACATGAAGTTATGGGTAGCCCCGAAATCTATCAATACCCCCACTTCCTGGTCCTTCACCATCCCTTTAAGCTTCATAGTTTTAGGTGAAGTCAACCCCACTATTGAGTTCATAGATAACTCCACTTCTTCAAGCTCGTTACAACCTGTTAATTCTTCCAAAAGTCCTCCCTCTGTTTCCTCCTTTCCCACTTCATCATCCACTAATAGTACCTGCAATTCCTTGTTTCGGCACCGATGACCGATGGTATACTTCTCATCACAACAAAAACATAACCCCTTCTCTTTCTTTCCTTGAATCTCGGCTTGAGACAGCCGTTTGAAGCTAGCAGCGGCATTCGGCGAATTGTTTCCCACCTTCGGTAATGTAGTTCCCCTCGATAAGTTCCAGGGAATGGTTCGCTGTTCGAACTTTACCGGCATAGGAGCAGGATACCTCTAACTCGCAGCTTCTCCCTTTCCTTTACCTTACTTATCCGGTTGTTTCTATCCTTCACCCGTTGAGCTGTATCCATGATTTGTGACAACCTTGTCGAATTTTCCATCAACATTTCAACCTACACCTCCTCCACTAACCCATTAATGAAGAGTCCTTCTAAATTATCCTCGCTCACATTCTTCAGAGGTGCATCCATGATTTTAAATTGCTTTCTGAATTCTGCCACCGATCCAATCTGTCGAATGGCTAGAAATCTTTGGTGTAGGGTGCCATGAGTATCCCGTAACCTCACCAATACCCTTTGTTTGAGCTCTCTCCAGCTGCGTATAGGACGCCTTCCCTTCTCCCATTGAAACTAGGATAAAGCACTTCCCTCCATACACACCCCAGCTGCCACAGCTCTCTCAGCCTCAGCAATTTTATTAACATTGAAATACCTCTCAACCCTGAATATCCAGGAGTCAGGGTCGACTCTATTGAACACTGGTAACTCCAGCTTGCATAGTTACCTTCGAAGGGATTTTCAGCTGCTTTCCCCGATGCAAAGGGCTTCAAATCAGTTGGGTTCTCTATGGTATTCGTCGATTTTGTTCCACTTTCTTCTCCAATCAAATCAGAAGTTTCTAGTGATCGCCGTTTAATCCTTTTGGCTAGTGCCAAGAGTCCTTCGTTCATTTTGCCCAACTCTATCCCCAACCTTGCGTTCAAATGTTCCAGATCTCCTTTCAATTCGTTCATAGCGGCCCTCAAGGTCGGAATCTGTGATACCGAGTCTTCTAACACCTTGATTCGGCTGTCCATTCTAGTGGCTGGCATTTGATTCCCAGAATTTCTCAGCTCTGATACCAAATTAATAGAACCTGTTCGAGAACAACACAATTAATTCTCACAAAATGCAATTAAACCTTCCCATAACTGAATTTACGCATACACAGGACTGAATATGTAGCGACAAGAAAAAAAATGTGTTTTGTTCGTTTCAAATAAAATTTTCTTATGGGACTCAAATATAATTGGAATTATATTATTTTGTCGCTACGACACTTCCTAATAGTCTAAATTAAATTTTGGTCACGGAAGTAAAATTTCACGTACTTGATTTTCTTAAATTTTACAAGGTGTTAAAATCACTTTTAACCGACAAAATTTTATGTTAATTTGGCTACATTATTTTTCTTACGACACACTTTATTTTAATACTACCATTTTTGTTTCCATTATGTAAACTATTTTTTTTAAATTGGACAAATTACTTGCATGTTTCATCATCCATCATTTATTCTCCAACTTATCATTCTAATAAACTTCCCTTTTTGTCAATGCCAAAACCGTCCCCTATCATTCATTTGAAAATAAAATTTCAACTCCAAATTTTATCCATTACACCCACTTTATTATCCATTGTAACCTCCAATTCTAACCAACCCTATCTTAGCATATTAATCTTCATTTTGTTAACTGCCAACAATTATCATTTTAACTCCCCACTAACCACGTTTTTTTTTATTTTATTTCCCCACATCAGTTAATTGCCAGCCACATCACTTGAAAAAAAAAACTTTATATTTGAAAAGTCACCTGCACGTCCATCATTCAAAAATCCACCAATTATCTTCATTTGGCATTTTAACTCTTATCTAAACAATTTCAATTTCAACCTACCCACTAAGTGCATTTTAACATCCACTTTTGCACTACCATGAAACCATCTCTTTTATTTTAAGTTGTGAGTTCATTTTTTTCAAAGCTGAAATCTCAACTTCTTTAGCCACTCTCTCTCTCTCTCCCTATTATACTTATGCATCAAATTATTTTGCCCCTTCTTCCATAGACAAAAAGAACTTTGAATCTGAAAATTTCTAAAGAAAAGGGCAAGACGTACGCTGCATTTTATTCTTTGAACACGAAAGGATATTTCAAATTCCAAGCATTAAGGTAGGGGTGTTTCGGCACTTATGTAAGTGATATAAGATTTATATATTTTCGTTTGCATTAAATGTGTTATTGTGTTGCTCATGATGGAATCACCGTTTGGTGGTTTAAACAAGAGATGAAGGGATGATTATGACAAATGAAATGGGGTTATCAAAACCTAAGAGTAAGCGGACTGATTGATCACCAATTCGCTTGAAATTGACGATGACACAATTGACCAAAGTTTGCATTTCTGAAAATATATATTTTTACCGTTTACTTAAGTGTTTCCTACTGAGTATTATTTATAGTACTCATCCCTACAAATAATTTTACAAGTTAAGCTCGAGGCATGGCAATGGTTGGCATAGTGGCAAGTGTTCGGCAATCTCTAATTCTTTCAATTTCTGGTGAATATTTCTATTTATGTAAATATTTCATGGAACTTAGATGAACTTTTAGAAATGCTTTTTAATGTTTATTTTGTTCCATTTTTAGATGGTGCATGTTAACAAGAATTTAAAAGTGTTGGATTGATTTGTATGAGGTTTTATTTTATGCTGGGTGGAAATTTCAGTTTCTGTCCTTCTAGTTGAAAATAGCATAACTTGGCTACGGTGCATGTTTTTAAGTGAAATTAGTGGGGTTTGAAAGGTCTATGAGTCTTCTAATAGTGGCCTTTGAAATTTCTCGAAAATATTAGCTAAAAATAAAGTTATGCCCGTTTTAGTAAACTGCATCGTGTCGAATCCGAGATTCCTCTCCAGCATATTCAAGTAATATTTTCGTGCTTCAAACGTTATCGTCGAAACCCCAAATTTTTATATGTGGTACATATATGAATGACTTAGTCCCTGTAAAAATTTCACAAAGTTTAATAGACATTTTCTAGGCCAAAAATATTTTTCTTCCGCTGTCGTTAAATCCGTAACTGTCGATTTGTCTTCAAATCTTTTACAAAAAAACAAATTTTGCTACATTTGCCTAAGTTATATAGATAACTACCTTTCATTATATTTTTACATATTTAAAAAAAAAATTGAATTTATAAAATACTTTGGCTAGCGTCAAAGGGGTCGAACCAAAGAAAGAAATGAATATTATTTTAACGCTTCAGTTTCCGAGAATTCGGGGCGTTACAGAATATGTATGAATTGATTGATTGAATGGAAGAAATTGAACAACTCGAAATGGAAAACAACAAGAAGCAACACGGCAGGTTTCGAGAGCTGCCCCTCGCCTATTGATTCAGATTTTTCCTGATTTCTGAATGCCTTCTAGAATCCACTACTAGCTATTTATAAACACTATGACATCAGCATAACTAATTCGTTGCATAACTAATTTTCCCTCCAATTTCCCTTACACCCCCTTCTTGTGACTCCTTTGAGGAGTGAACCGCATGGGAGGCTTATCAAAACGTTGACGGGCATTTGGAAATCTTTCATTATAATATTTGATGTATTGATTTGATGTTTTCCTGCTAGTATAATCTATACCATGTCATTCTAAAATTCTTCTCTTAAACTACGTTTTGCTTTCATAAAATACGCTGTTAACAGATCCTGGCAGGAAAAACCTGATTCATATAATAAACTTGTTGGCAAGATGGTAATGGATATGCGTGCTCGGCCTTCAGACCGTACAAAGACATCTGAAGAGGTTGCACAAGAGGAGAAAGAGAGGTTAGAGAAGTTGGAGATACATGGGATACATACATTTTTGTTGTGGGGGTTATCTTTGCCGAAAGATCAAGGATTATTGTCACAATTTTAACATAATCAACTTGATACAATAATAAACCAAAAAGTCCCTAATTTTTTTCTGTCTTCAGTATCTGATTTAAGATGGCAACCTTTCAGTATTTTCAGTACATCAATCACCTCCCACCCCTCATTCCTTTTCTCTTGGCATTTGATTCTAGTACATGAGGTCATATTAGGGGACTTCTGATTAGTTGTAGAATAGTAATGATGGTCACATGATTTTGATAGTCACAAATACATTCCTCAGGTGATATTATTGTTGTTGTATTTATTATTATTATTAGCGGTTTGAGATTCGTATTCTCTCTTTGGTTGTATTAATTAGATAACTAGTTGTTTAATGGTTCTTGCAACGTGTTCTCTTTGGCATATAGAAAATATATTTAAAAAACTGCAAAATGATTCTTTACATAACTACACCCATCAGCATTGTAGCATCTAAGTAATATTAATTCTTGAATTTTCAGTTTCATAGAAGGTGACTGTTTTTTGGTGGAAAAAAAATGAAAATGAAAATCACTATGTAACCGTAGCTAGTTGTAGTTTTGAAGCCTGAAAAGAATGTATTTTAAAAAGATATTCAGAGTTACTTGCCTTCATGTGTTCAATTTCAGGAAGAACGTCAGAAGAGGATCTTTGCCGGTGATGACTCCAGTGATGAAGCTTCCGATGCTTTCAAAGATAAGGAAGCTTCCACTAAGAAGCTAAGATCAATATCTGGAGATGATCTTGGTAATTCATTCCCTCAGGATGCAGTACCAAAAACTAAATGGGGAGATCTTGAGAAGCGAGCATGATAATGATCTTGAGAGTGATGATGATGATGCTGCTTCTGAAGATTCAGAAGATGACGAGGATGGTAATCAAGATGACAAAACTCAATCTCTCAAGGTCTGGGAGCAAAGTGATGATAACAATGGCAAAGTTATTCAGAAGATGGAGGAGGTGAAGATGAAGAAGAAAAAGAAAAAGAAGATGATATCAGCATTCATGTGGAGATGACACGATAAGAAGTCATCAGGAAGCAACGGCAAACAAAAGGACAGTCTGGATGCCTGCAAAGTGAAAGCAAATATCAAAAAAGATTTACTTGGATAAGTGGAACTTCCCTATACAATTGAGGCTCCTAAAACCTGAATTTAGCACACTATTGGAGAATTGTTCTAATGATCAAATTGTTGAAGCTATCTGGCAAATTCGTATATTTAATGCAATTTCTGTTGCTGCAGATAATAGGAAGAAAATTCAAGTATGGAACTTTGCTGCCTTTGCTTGTTTTGAGTAACTTAATATTTCTGTACACATCCATTTCATTTTCACATTTTTACAAGAATGAAACTTTTCACGAATTTGGAGCAGCATTATTAGCTGTTACAAATAGGGAATATGGAATAATTATCTCGAAATTATTAAATTCATATATTGATATGTGGTACGTCTGATGCTATCGTCATCAGATGCCTCTTACTGTAGAAAGCAACAATGTAGTAAACTTGGAATTTCCAAAAATAGCATATGTCTGGCAGATGCATCAGTATTTGATATGCTCAAATTTCCTTTCAGGTATTTTATGGTGTGTTATTGCAATACTTTGCTTTTTGGCCAATAAAGAAGCCACTGAATTTCAAGGTACTGAATTTACTCGTCAATCCACTGATGGAAATGAGTTCAGAGATCCCATACTTTTCAGCAATATGTGCTCGTCAAAGGTTGGCTCACACTCGGACCCAGTTTTGTGGGAATATTAAGAATACAGGTTGGCTAGTGTGAATAAAATACTCTGATTTTTCCTATTTTGCAGCTCTCTGGTTCTTAAACTATTTTTGCTAAAATATCTCTCATTTTTTCTTGTTGGATCTGTTCTTGCACTCTTCCTGCATGACAGGGAAAAGCAGCTGGCCTTCTTTGAAGGCACTATTTCTCGAGGCTGTGGTTGATGATTTTTCCATGCTTTGATTTTCATCATGTGGTCATGACACCTGCTATCTTGTTGATGTGTAAATACCTTATGCGGTGTCCTATAATGTCTGGCTGGGATATCACAATTGGTTCCTTCTTATGCTCTGTCGTGCTCTCTGTAAGTTCATTCAGCCTTAATTTGTTTCGTGTTTTTTATTTTTTATTTTCTGTTTGTCTTTAGCTCAGATATTCCATATAATCAAAAAGAACTTGGAAAGTTCTTCCAATTTTCTGTTGCCAGAGCTTTGTATTCCCTTTAGGCTTTCTTCGTTTCACTTTAAAATATAAGCTGGTAACAATTTAGGTTAATGATCCTAAATATTTCATATGCTCACTCTTAATTTCTATTTCTGGCGAGTTTTCATCTTCGTTGTGATGGTGAAAACTTGTTACTAATTGGAGCAGTAAAAAAAAAAAAAAAAAACAATAGGCACCTGTTTGGTAGAATTTAAAATCAGATTTTTAGTAAATTTTGATAAAAATTGATGGAATGTGTGGTTGAAAAGTTGTGGACCCCATAAAATATGTGATTGAAATTGATTGTTAACTTTGACTTAGATCACAATCAAACAAGGGATAGGTGTAGGAAGTGTGCTCTACCAATGGCCTCTGATCTTTAATCTCTGTATTAAGTGATATAAGCTTTATCTGTGTATATTGAAATTGTTTTATTGGTGTTTGCTTGAGATATAGTTTCTTTAGATCAGGTCTTATGAGATGTACTGTCAAACATTACATTAAATTTCAATAATATCTGTTATTATTGAAACACTGAAAGGATTTGTCAACATTTATGAAGGATTTAAATCCTTTCCAGAGATATTCTTGCCGGTTTCAAAATTACTTAGTGAATTAGCAAAACAAGATCACCAACCAGATGCATTACTGATTCAAATCGAAGACATTGCCCAACTTACTAAGAAGAAAGCACAGGAATACAACTTGCTGTGACGACCACTATGAATGTGAAAGTCAAAGATTATTAAAACTGAAGTTCCAACGTTCAAAGAAAAGTAATTCCCACATTCAACTGCATTTGCTCATTTACATCAAATTCTGCCACTTAATTTCATCTGCTGACTTCATTTTTCCATGATTAATTATTCAAATGCAGCTTTGTAAAGGGAAGAGATTATGATCCAGATCGAGAGCGAGCTCAAAGGAAAAAGTTAAAGAAGCTTTTAAGACAGGGAGAAGCTAAAGGTGCCGCCCGTGAACTGCGGAAAGATAATTACTGCTTGTTGGAGGTTAAAGATAAGGACAAGGCATGACTGGCGGAAGAAAGCTGAAAAATATGGAACAAGCTAAAGCTTTTCTCCAAGAACAAGAGCATGCATTTAAATTGGGTCAATTGGGAAGAAGCAAGAAGAGGATGAGATGAAGTCTCTTATGTTTTGCAGTTTGCGGTCATTTCATTATGGTGAGTTATTATTAATTCTTTTAGTCATTGTTTTTATTCCCTACGTGCGAATTGATTGTTAATCCATGAAAAGAAAGAAGTCTTCATTAGTTTTCCAGTTTACACTCTTACAAGCCATGTCATTATGTTTTTTCAGGGATACAATTTCCCTGCTCACCATGCATTAAGAGCAAGCAAGCAAGCTCAGTTCGAGTTTGTGTATTAAACTGAGGCAACGGCTTGTCGATTCTTGATTTAGAGTAAACTTCAGTTAAGTTCTAAAATGAGCGTATAATGTTTATTATGATGTGCTTCATTTTGCATTGTAATATATAATTTTCATTGGGATTACTTGTTCCTAGTTTCTAAATGTTTTATCCGTGTTTGAGCCCTATTCTTTGAAAAAAAAAATTATATATATATATATATCTTCTTAAAAAATATTTTGACATCATTTCAATCACATTCTTTAATAAAATAATATTACACGTAAATCTAAAACTTTTTCTTATTTTTTAATCACATATTTTCCATCAATACACTATTCAAAAATTCGTTCTTATGAAAAGAATGGGACTCAAACAAGGGCTTGCATTTGTATTTGGATAATGATGTCTTAAGATTTTTGTCATGTCGAGTTAGCAGATTGGTATATATCCACGTAAAGTGTATCCTCCGTTTTGCTAATTGATTTCCAAAAATGTGCTTGGTTATTGATAAAATATTTGATGCGACCTTTATTAACGGACATTCACCACCTGTTAGACAATTTGATTTGCTACACAGTTTCCATTGTTTAAAAGAAACCCAATTTAAAGCTTTAGAGTGTAGCGAACAATAAACGCTTCACCGCTCCAGCTCAAGGCTTGTGAGGTAACCATCCTTATTTTTTGACACATACTTTGCTTTGGGTGTGGGGAATAGCATATTACCCTACTAAATAAAATAGTATGTTTTGGAAACCCAATCTTGAGAATAGTTCACTTCCTCACCAACTAAAGTAATAGTTTCCTTTCGGTTACTCTAGAGATTTTTCTTTTGTTCGTTTGGAACACTGAGAATTGTTCTGTCATGAAATTTTGAAAATCATTTATGATTTATTATGTGCTTATTTAGCCTTTCAATAATTTGTTAGACCCTGTTCTTTTTCTTCTTTTATTTTTTTTTCTTTTTTTTTGGTGGTTACGGTGAGAGGCTTACAAAGGAAAACGTCTCGATATGAGATTAGGCATTTTAAAACATTGATAGTTTGGTGCGAATATGTAAATGGAGTCTTTAAAACATAGCACTTCAAGGGCACTAATTAGTAGGGTCCTTGAATCCTGTTGTTTCCATTTATTTGTGGGTGGCTTGAAAAGTGGATAATTTTAATTGTAAACTAAGACCAGTGGAGAAGAAAAAAGAAAACTCTGACCACAGATCTAACAGTTCAACCACTGCTTTTATGACAATTTGGGTGCCTTGATGAGGGTGGAATCTTTAAAGCATGAAGAAATCCCTCTACATTGGCACTAATAAAGTAGGTTCTCTCAACATCGTTTCAATTTATTTCTTGGCTTAAAAATTGATTCTTTTAAACGACAACATGACCTGTGTAATCAAGCAGAAAGGACTTGTTTAGAATAGAAAAAGAAAAAGGAAGTTACAATAAAAGAATACTCAAATCACTTTTGTCCTCTGTTGGTGATAAAAGTTCTTTTGAAATTTGTTTGCACCAGATTAGTTGAGAGAGAGGGGTGAGAAAATGGAGAGCATGATAAACTTTGTCCATGAGAAGTTGAAGACACTTGCAGAGTGTTTAATGGCTAATATTCTGGGGAACTTGAAGGAAATCGAAGCAGTTAACGGCCTGATGACAAATTTTCAGGAGAAAATAAAGAAAACTGGAGCATCCGTAGCCGTGTTGATCCTGCTTGTGTTTCTCTTGGGCTGCTGCTGTAGAGGGACCGCAGGCAAGACGATGAAAGCTCCGGGAAGGAAGAGCACTAGGATTTCCAGGGATAAATTTGAAAGCAATCCCAGAACATACTTCAGAGATCTGCGTGGTAAGAACGAATAAATTATAGTAGATAGTAGATTTAGTGTATTTTCATTGTATTCTGGAGTTTTATGTGTTATGGGCTGTCGAAAAAATCCATAGTTAGAAGTTCGAACTAGCAGGATGAGGGGTTGATGTTCAGAAATTTATGGCTTTGATTTATTAAATTTCTAGTTTTCTTGCTCCTGTTATGTGCATAGATTATTTACACACACAGTTCTGCTTGGCAGCCATGAGGATTTGATTTATCAGAAGGGTAAATAAAACATCCAATCAAAGAGAATTATTTGGTCCAATTTCTTTAAAATTCGTTTTTCCTCAAACTCATTTTTAACTACACATTTTCTCAATAAAATAATTAATTTTGCATACAAACCATAACTTTTCCGACTTTTTAACTAAATATTCTCCAAAAACTCACTTTGCACAAAATCTACATCAAATGCCCTAAACCTACAGCAATTTGGGCAGGAACAATCATTCTGAGACCAGAAATGCATAATAATGGAAAGTTGACAATACTGAGAAAATAATTGAAGTTGGGTACACAAGTGCAAAAGAGGCATAGGTTGGGCATGACATCTGTCATTTACTCCAACAAATCTCAATGGCAATGTCTAGAGCAAGGAGTAATCGAATGATGTTTGACTTTTTAAAAAAAGGGGATTGTGTCAAACCTAAATCTAACACCAAGAAATCTGACGCCAAAATAGTAAGCGGGTGTATGTGGGTTGTCCTATCGGCAAGGCTCAATAGGCAATACCTTATGAGATAGGTCGCCACATAGTTGGCGTGCTTATTATGCGTGACAACACTATAGAGCAAGTAGCTCTTCTAGCTGGGCAACTATGTGATGACTATAGAGAAAGAGACGGGTGCCAATTGGTTGGCCCAACTGTTATCTTAGTGTTAGCCCAAGCAAGGTCCAAAATGCTGCATTTTAACGACTCTAGCACTAGTAACGAATGTGCTAGCTAAAACTAGTAAAGAATATCGATGTCAAACTAAGAATTCAAAAGAAAATTTTCGAGCTTTAAGTGAACAACCACCGCTAAATCTCTATTCTACCGAGTTCACGTTTCATGATTTCAACAAACCTATTATCAAAGGGAAAATAACAATAGAAAATGAATGGAATTTTCCTTGCTTTCCTCTTGGAGGAGAAAAAGTTTACTAGAAACAATTTCAACAGTAAATGAATGCTCATGAATATGAGAAAATAACAATTTGTCGTCGCCTAAGCTTTACAAATGCCTATAATAAAGCTACAGGAATTCATTTCTTCCTCTAAACATAGATATCTAACTATTATTGCAATATAATTATGGAATCTCATCAGATAAAGGATGTTGCGGGAATGCATTTAATTTCTCAGCCAATAAGTGAGATAATTTAAAAACGGATATAATCATGCCTAATAAGTCGTTAATAGAACTAATATTAATGTTATATCAGCTCTCAGATTGTTTTCCATACTGTAGAAAACTCGTATTTCCACAGGAAATTCTCAGAACTCAACCACAACCAACTTCATGAATCATGAAAACTAGTGCATTTTTTTATTTTTTATTTAAATTTCACAGCAACCCAATCAGAGAATTAAAAAGTGCAACCTTGCATACAGATATATGCACTATGACCATACAAGTATTATTGCCAAAATAAATTATTGGGTATTTTGAAACAGTAGAAGTATATCAACAAATGAGCTGTAAGAAGACACATCAATGTTGATTATTGATAAACTAGTATCTAAGGAAAGAACCAAAGACGATGAATTCAATGCCTCGAAAATTTTGGCTGTAGCTACTAAAGAGGGGCAACTTGATAAAACAATAATTCCCTGGAGTCCATTCCTAGCCTTTCAGTTGCAAATAAATACAAAGCATGACAGCAAGCATGGCTCCAGGGGCGGAACGGGAGGGGGGTGTTCTGTCCAGTGTCTGACCCTTCTTCTTTTTTTCTTTTTTTTTTTTTTTTTTTTTTATAAGAACGTCAAAAATTATTGTTAAGGAAATAAATTAAGTAAAATAACATATATTAGGCAAGAGGAATTGGGTTTATTGTACTTTCATATGGGACTCTATTACCATATGTGCATTTTTTTGATATGTATATAATGAACGTGAAGGAGAAGAGTTTGTTATCTTCTCCCCAAAGACAGTTTATACTAGGTCTTTCTCACAAACAAGTATAAAATTCACACTATAAATATATTATGTAACCGTCAACTCCAAACTCAACTTTGTGTCTTTGTCCATTTCTCCCAATCCATCGACTACGGACTGCCATTGTCATCTAAAGTTTATCCACGTTTAAAAGTTTGATTGTGACCCCTAACCGAAAGTATCTGGGTCCACCCCTACATGGGTCACGGCATAAAGTGAAAAGAGGCTACATGTAGTTCAATCTCGTTCATAAGACTTAGCCCTTGTTTGTACCTCTATTTGTTTATAACAATGCATTCTTGAATTTTTTTGACTTCATTTCAACTACATATTCTTCAATAAAATGATATTACACGCAAAT